TGCATTACAACAAGGCCGTTATACGTGGAGACATAACAAAGCTCTCCGTCAAATTGCAGTAACTCTAGAGGAAGTGAGGAAGGAAACAGCAGGAACAGACTCACCACTACAGCCAATCCAGTTCGTAAGAAGTGGGCAGCAGCCCTCAGGGGCAACCAGCAGTAGGAGCAGAATAGGAGGTGGCCCATTATGTAGAGGAGTGTGGAAAATGAGCGTAGATCTCGACAGGCAGCTGCATTTCCCAAGTAGTATCTGCGCAACGACATTGAGACCGGACCTTGTCCTGTGGTCAGAGGACCAAAAGTCAGTGTTGATAGTAGAACTAACGGTTCCTTGGGAAGAGAACATTCAGGCAGCGTTTGAAAGGAAGAAGACAAGATACGAGGAACTGGTCCAGCAGTGTAGGCTGAACGGCTGGAAAACTCAGCTCTACCCAGTAGAAATAGGAGTTCGTGGGTTTGCAGGGTCATCACTACTGCGGCTATGCAGAGACCTCCAGATCCGAGGGAAGGCACAGGCCCAGCTTGTCCGCCGTGTGTCTGAAGAAGTGGAGAAGAGTAGTTTTGTGATTTGGCTAAGAAGGAAGGATAAGAACTGGAAACAGACATCCCAGAAATAGAGACGACTGTACCGGAAGTAGGATGGAGACGTCCACCCTACTGTCCCACCGCCCCGAGGTGTCTTAGATGTAAAGGGACGAAACACCAGTGAAGGCCGGAGTCTAACTGACGATCCGGTGCAGTCGCCTCAGTGATGCTGGAAAGCATGTCATAGTCCAGCAGGTTAGTGTCAACCTGTATACCTTTTGTATGGGAGCTTATTTATTTATTTATTTTATTTTATTCACATTTATTTTTCGAGGATTGGGCAAAACGTTATAAAACTTATCTCAGCCCTCTCCTCACACATAAAAGGAAACAATAAAATAAAGTAATAATAATAATAAGAAGAAATGACAAAGGTACATAATGGGAGCTTCCTAAACAAACACACAAACAAACAAACCTTTCCGTCGAGCACCGCGGCGCCGTGGTGGTATCGCGGGTGCAGCATGGACGCGATGGGCTTCCAGACGTTCAGGTACGACACGTAGCACATGGCGTCCTTCCGAGCCTTGTCGTTGACCAGCCCACCTGTGATTATGTTTACCAAAGGAAAACATATTGTTTTTGCTCAGTTTCTTCCTCCTCCTCTTCTGTTCCAAACACTAACCTCTGACCTGGCCAATGACATGATTTGTTGACGTCTGTCACCATGGTGACGGGTGTTGAGTTACATAATGTTGCAATTTCATGGTCTGCTCTGCTCCTGTCACCATACACTAGTAGTACATGCATGTGAATGTGTTTGAGTAAGAATTAACAGGGCAGACCATGTCCGAAGGTAAACATTATGCATTTGCTTTGCAAATGTTACTTCTCTAGTTTATTTTATTCACAAATATTTATTGAGCATTGGAGCAAAAAGCAAAAGTTGCTTAATATATAGCACCTTCTACTCAAAAACATACAACGAGTATAAAACACATTGACAAGATACATGCATAATTACAAGGTGGATAAAACCAAGATAAATACAAACAAGACAAGTTGGTGATCTATCAATTACGAGAATCTACCCGTACAGTAAATGAAGTTTTGAACTACATCTAAAACATTACAGTTTTGTAGGTGTGAGAGTGATGTGGACCCTCGAAGTAGTAAGTCGTCACCTGTGATGTAGATGTCGTAGCCAGTGGAGACAGCACTGGAGACCTGGAGGTCTTTCGACGGCACGGGACCCAGAGCTCGCCACCTCTGGTGCACGGGGTCGTAGTAGGGCACCTCCCGCGCCTTGCTCGACCCCTTGAAAGTCTTCTTCTCTCCGCAGACCACCACCATCACTTCCACACAGTTGCACTTGCGCGGTCGTCTCTGCCTGGTCTTCACCGCTCTTCTGTACGTGCCTGAGATCTGGAAGGCCCGCGCCTGAATGAATTAAAGAATGAATGAATGAATGAGTGAGTGAGTGAGTGAGTGAGTGAGTGAGTGAGTGAATGAATGAATGAGTGAATGAATGAATAGATAAATGAATAAATGAATACAAGAAAGGTTTATTCGTCAGAAACACATAGCAGCCATAGGCTAAATTGCGTATTTCACAACAATGACAGGTTCAAAAATACACTTAAAAGTACATGCTTAACCACATTAAACGTAATTAAAAGGAAGTGGTTCCTAAAACCTACAGTCGGATATATACAAATCTCGGCGTTCTATGATCATGCGTACTGTTTTGCTATCACTGGTACTGGTACTACGTAGTACTGTAGCCTCCGTAGCAGGCTTATAGAACTGGGGGGTTTGGTGGTCTTGGGCTGTTTCTGATTAGCCCAGTTCTAAACGGGGGTACTAGTACTTCAACCAGGCCGGCTATGTTGTCTATATGCAATCAGAAAATAGCACATAAAAGCTCCTAAAGACCATGAAGACCCCCCAACCCCCCAGTTTTTGGCATGCTATGGAGGCTACTGGTACTGGAACTTACCTCGTAGATCTGTTGCACGCACCCGTCGGAGTTGTAGACCAGCGGGTCCAGCGCGATCTTGGAGATGAGGTACTCGGGCGTCACGAACGGTAGGCGCACCAGCTCGATCAACTGATCCAGATCCTGCGATCTTCCCTCCCGATCGAACTTGATCCACCTTATGATCGCCTTGTAGATCTCCTCCTCGTTTTCCGTGTTCAATTCGTCGTCGGAGAGGTAGTCCACCAGGTACTGTTTGGGAAGCTGCAGAAACTCCTCCGTTTTGATGACTTTGGAGAACCTACTCCGCGCCAAGTCCCTCGCCTTGCGAAACAGCGAGTCGCACGAGTGGATCTCGGCGAGTTTGCGGATCTCTATGCAGTTCGATACGTCCAGAATCCTCTCTAGGAATGTCAGGCAAGCGTCTTTGACGGGCAAGACCTGCAGCAAGTCGGAGGTTTCGAAGAGTTGGAAGACGTTGTCCCGGGTGATGGTGACGCGGCCGGTGTAGGCGTAGTCCAGGTGAAGCTGCATGGTGTCGGAGGGGATGCCCTCCATCTTGATTCTCTCCGCTCGGCTCTCCCGCAGGTTCCCCGCAAACATGGCCGTGAAGTAGGGGCTACTGGCCGCCAAGACCGCCCTACGAACAACACGGATTTAGACATCATTAGGGCTATTTTCTGTAACAAGAAGGAAACTATAACCCCCTTCCCCGCACCAGGGAGGACCTGGAAGTCTTGAGGAGTCCAGAGGAGTACTGGAATGGTAGACAGGTGACTTGAGAAGACGAAGACCCCTCCTCTGTAACCCTGGGCTTGGAGAATAGATTACATCAAACTAATTGAACTCAAAAGGCAAATGAATGTATATTTCAACGCAAGCAGATAATGTATTCTTAGACTGTTGACCGGGGCAGGCATTTCAGCACCAGGGACAGGGCCATTGTCAACCCACAGTAGGCACAGCTCTGTGGTATATATTCTTTTTCGCCACTCCACTAATATATTTCTTCATGAAGAAATTCAAAAATTCAAAGCCGTGTTAGAATATACACACGTCTTGCTTCTCAAAACCACGTAGTCTACACTTAGTCAAATCTACCAGACTAATACTGGGCTCAAAAACAGTAAAGGGGGAATATTTAGCCAGGGAAGGGCGAATGCTACGGAGGATGGCACCCAGGCTACTGAAAATTTGGTAAAATAAATAAACTTGAAACTCACCGATGACAGTGGAACTCCTCTTCTTCTACTGCCAGTATGACGTCAGTGAGGACCTTGAATCCGCGCATGTCATTTAGCGCCTTGAGGATGTCTGCTGCCTGGAAGGGCTGATGGAACTCCATCCTGTCTGTGGTCGGACTCGGCATGGTGATGGGGTGCTGGAACAGTCAAAACATGTGGGCACCGTTTAGTAATCACAGAACTTGCCTTACGTATACCTTTGTGTATGGGTGCTGATCAACGAATTCCGATTTTGATACGATTCCGATTTCAGTGTAGCCTCTACCAGGCTTCGGGAGGCGACTGGGAAGAGTAGAAATCGGTCAAATAGAGAGATGACATGCCGAGGGAGTTGGTCTGCTGGAGAGAGCATTTTGCCGCTTCGGTTTCCATCCGTCTCCCGAAGCCTGGTAGAGGCTAATTTCAGGTCGTTCGGTGTGATATAGCTAGCTGCCGCCGCGCCGCGTGCCTGCGAAGCTGGTGTGTTACGCCGAAGGGTGGTTATACCGGCTTTACAAATACAGATACAGTCAAACTGTTGTACTGTGACCACCTCTTGGTAACTGTTGACACTTTCCGATGGTCCTTATACCCAGTCATTAAGAATTCTGTCTACTGTGATTGATTATTTTCCTATAGTCCATTAAGTGGCCACTAACACTTGCACATGGTTTTCCATCGGTAGGTTGCTTAGAATTCTGAGGTCACTTTAGTTTGTTGTGTTGAGTTGAGTCGAGTCGGTTGCGTCCCATTCATGCAGACAGGAGCTAAGGGTGGATTGGCGCACACGCCCGTGTGCATGTTGACATTTTTATGCAGAGAAAATAGCATGTTTACCATCCACGGTGTTATTTATCACTGTAATTTTTCAGCCATAACGCGAGTCCTCTGGTGTGGCCTTCGGCTGAGGTGACGTCGGTACAACATATAATTCTTCACGACAGGGCAGCACTTTTTCATAATTTATCGTTTTCGCAAGAGGACTAGGCACACATTAGAGGACAGAGTGTGTGCAGTACACCTTGGGGCAGTGCTTAAGACGTGACAAGAAGTGCTTCTGCCTTTCAACAGTTTCAACAGTTTATTCATAAAAATCAGCCTTGCAGCCAGTACAAAACAAGCTGACTAACACTGATATTTACAGTTATCTAGCACATACAAATATAAATTAACATTGCGATTCATATACAGCCACACAAACAAACAAAAACATTACAAAAGCCACACATGGGCACTAAAGTAAAGACCAGAGAGTCCTGAGAGTCCTTACTGTAAAGACTCGTTGTACAGGCGTATTGCCCTTTCTTAAGACACACAAGCAAAGAAAACGAGACGTGCTCTAAAAACACTTGTTGAACCCGCGAGGTGTGAGCTCCGCTAAAACGTGACGTCTTCTATAGAAACACAATCGCTGTTTCCTGCCAGCTTCCTAGTTAAAGCTTTTTACTATACTTTGATCTAAGGCCACAGCAAGTAAATTTTATGGATGACATCCTCCTCAGACTGCAAATCTAATGCAAGCGGACGATAAAATACAAGGCGGGCCGAAAGAAGCAAGGTTCCTACAATTTGCAATTTTGTCTCAATCATTGTACAGATGGTTTTGATTCAGTAGGAACATCACATATACACAGCCAGCTTCACATATCACTGCATAGTAATCACATGCAAAGTAAGAAACAAAACATAAGGCAACAAAATTTCTTTTTTTTTTCCCAAAATCAGACGAAAATTAATGCGCGCGCTGATGTCATCCATAAAAATTACTTCCTGTGGTCTTACTTTGATCTAAGAAAGCAAATCTCAGACACCAAAGTTTCCATTGTGTCGATGTCTTGTAGGTATGTGCACTATTTACTCAGTACCTCTATCCTCAAACATGAATCTGTTTTTCTGATGAATGTTCTCGCCATTTCCATTCCAAAAGCAACAAAAAACGTGTATCTCAACTAGTGATAGGGGTGGTATGTCTAGACCAACAAAATTATTAACGTTACCCTTTCTTTACCGCGTCTCCCTCAATAGAACTGATTCACAGAGTCCTCTGACTACACTAGCCTCCGTAGCAGGCTTATGGAACAGTGGGTTTGGTGGTCTGCGGCTGTTTTCTGATTAACCCCTGAGTTCAAAGAACGGGGGTAATTCAACCAGGCCGGCTATATTGTCTATATGCAATCAGAAAATAGCACGTAGACCCCCCAAACCCCAGTTTTTGGCATGCTATGGAGGCTACGACTACACGACATCCCACTGTTGTCATGCGGCACGGCTATTTTAGTGTTTTAGTAGGAGGCGGGGTCTAAGTCAATATTTTCTCTCGCGTGATATACACTTTACAGAGTGAAAAGACTTAATAAACACTACGTGAAAAAAAGCAGAGTAAACAATGCGTGACCGTCATAGTAGACTGGTAAAAGGCGTACAGAGGTCAATATTTCTGTATATACATGTACGGCGTTTTAGAACAATGTTATGCCGTCACCTAACGTGGTGTCTCCCACCCGGTTCTACATGTTTAGTCAGGTCAGATAAGACATGTTTAGCAGACAAACATACTGTAGTTTGCGTCTTTTCTCTTCACTGATCCCATTGAAGAAAGACCCCGGGTTAAAAGCTATAGAGGATACGGAACAAAAGACTGTTGGCCCCCGTTGCTACCCACTTCTTCTCGCCCGAAGCGCTCTGTACTGTCACATACGAGCGTCTGTGTGCTCATGTCACTATGATATGTACAAAACGTGTTTTCCGTACACACATGTATAGCACGGTAGCACAGGAGGCGCTGTCATCGGAGGTGGAAGTGGACAGATGGCTTGCTATTTTTGTAGGGCAGTCAAGTATAACGTTATGAAATTAGGATAAATTCTTATAAGAAGCGTGGAGGTAACAATCGCATTAAGCTGTATGAGTGCCTCTGGCATCTCTCTACCTTACCCCTTCAATGTGTACGTACACCGGTACCTGTATAGACCAAATTCCCTTTACACAGGGTTGGGTGGCATGGTAGCACATTATAGGTAGTAAGAGTGGACAGGTGGTCTTGATATTTCTCTAGGGCTGCCTCTCATAACTGATATTACGACGCTGAAACGTCAGGAAGAAAAACCTGGACCTGAAAAAGGTACATCACGAAATGCCTTTCACGTCAAGCGATACAGCCCAACCCCCGACTTTCCATTGACATACCGCACATTTTCGTAAAACTGAAAAAAAGAGGTAGAGTGACTGGTTGTACCTTGTATATCTTATTCTATTAAAAGATTTATGCCTCCTTGAAAAATGTAGGCTCGGCAGCTGGCGTGACTTCAGGGCCGTCACGAGAAATCGGTTCTGTTTGCAGGTTCACAGGTGGTCGTCTGGGCTGTAAGTCATGTAGATCACACAGACGCTGACAATTGTTTGGCACGGATTTTTTTACGCGTTGAACTTCAACTATGTACCCTACGACGCGTCTAAACAGCAGTACTTGTAAATTACTGTGATTCTCTTCATGTTTATGGTAGAAAAAGTTCACGGTCTGAGAAAACTGGACATGTTCATGGAACTATATATTCACGGTGGCGACAGGTGCAGGAAAAGAAAATCCAGGAATTGTTTTTTTAACTGTACTGATAAGTTCACTGTACAGAAGCGACAGTGAAAACAGTGAACATAACAGTACTGTGAAAAAATCAGAAAATACAAGCTTTTTAAGATAAGCTTGCAGATAACTGGAGAGGGTTTGCGCCAATGCCAAATGTTTGTTTTTTCCATTTAAGGATTGACGTTTGTTTTCCAAGTTCGGCGCAGGTTTAGAAAACCCCCTCTGAGCTCGATAAACATCTCAGACATAATAGAACAAACACGGTGACCTTCTCCATACAACAGGATTCGGCATGTAAACAATGTTATTTTAAGTTAAGTGGACTACTGAAAAGTAGGACGTCATTGCAGACATACTGTAATTCCTGATTTTTTCACTGCACTGTTATGTTCACTGTTTTCACTGTCGCTTCTGTGCCGTGAACATATCATTACAGTTAACAAATAATTCCTGGACTTTCTCAGCTTTCCTGCACCTGTCGCCACTGTGAATATATATAGTTCCGTGAATGTCCATTTTTCTCAGACCGTGAACTTTTGCTACCGTGAACATAAAGTGAATTACTATCCGACCATTACCATGTGGACGCTGTTTACCATTTGTGAACCCCCTGAATCTGCCCCAAATCCAATAGCCTAACGCTAATTCTGTATCCAAGGCACCCAGGCGATACTTTAAGCATGGGAACGATCTGTTAAGGCGGAATCCGCATCTCTGTACACTGTACACGTTTCACGCTGAACTGTTAGCATTAGAATTATCGTGGGGCCACGTTCGAGTCGCTTGCTTTCTTGTTTTTCCAAGCCTCGTGCATGAAAACACACAATCAGGTCAGTCGACATGAAAAGGCACAACAACCGCGAACAGAAATCGATCCAGTGAAATCCTAGACTTTAAAAAGCCCCGAGGCGTACACAACATGTATATTTTCCCCAACACTGATTCGCTATATCCACAGGCACAAGACAAACTCACCTGAAATCACCTTTCGCGGGCAATGCAAGCGGGACTCCTGTGATTCCTGGGCGACGCAGAAAATACAGAAAGAAAGTGTCTCTTTGTCATTTCACTCCCGGACCTTAATTTGGCGAGCTAGCTCCTTGACTTGTATCTCTTAAGGGCCCGGGACCCCGCAACAAAGCGCCGTACAGCTGCGAAAATGTACGGAGCCAGAGGTCACCTGTATTATCGCTTAAACAGCCAATCGCGGCCGCGAACGGCGGTCACGTGAGTGAGATGTCAACCCAGCCAGGTAAGAAAACCTCGAGCTCAGGTGTCGCGCTTGTGTTTTGAGAGGAGAGAACAGAGACCGCTGTATCCACTTCAGACAACACTCCCCCTGATAAAAACACTCTAATTTGCTTTGCAAAAGTAACGAGCGACCCCCTTTGAATATCCTGACTGACAGCTTGTCTTGGCCCCCTCCCAAGAGCCATATATATTGATCCTAGGAGACTGGCAACCCTGGCGCAAGGTGTAATTGTCATTCTTTGTGTCTTACACACATGTAAAAACCAACACAATCATCGCTTTTTGCTCGTAATTAGCAGGTCGTTTCAAATGGCCGTAATTGATTTAAATTGGTTTATTATGGCGAGGTTTGGTGGTGATTTCACTGGTGGATGACGTCATGCATGTGTCCCGACCCTTCTGAAATCCTTCTCCACTTTCCGTTTCAAGGGCCTTCTGGAAACCTGCAACTACCGAGTGAATAACTATTAAATGCAAGGCTATAAGTTTTGTTCAATGACGCGTATTATCGTGAAACCTTGCAAATGTGTTCCATGACAAGGCCAAGGGAAATGATAATGAAAAGGTCGTATGTGCGTAAAAGTGAGCTACAACCACCTTGCAAAGAAAGGCATGCAAATACTGGTCCAGTCTCAAAGTGCTGAATAAAAGCTTTATTAAAACACAATGCCGGAAGTTTTGGTCTGTTACTTAGGCCGTGTTGATTTGATTATATGGATGACATCCGCGCGCGCATGAATTTTCGTCCGTTTCCAAAAAAAATATTCGCACGCTCGCATCAGTTTTGGGGTTCCCAGAGGATGTCATCCATAAAATCAAATCAATATGGCCTTATATCATTGTAAAACCTTGAATAAATGTGTTATTCCATGACAATGCCAATGAAAATAAAAGGAAATACTCAATAAGGAAAAGGTTGCGTGTACGTAAAAGACTTTCTTTGTCTCAAAGTGCTGAAAAAAAGTTTTTAATATGTTTGTATATACTAGTAATTTTCATCGCTTTTTGCTCGTCGTCTCGTCTGGCCTCAGCTCGGGTCCGAGCATCTGGGTTCGTGTCGTCTCATCCTCAGCTGTTCTGGGGGTGTCGATGTCTTAGGTGGCTGGTCAGGCCTAGTGAAGTATAAAAACGTCGGGGGCACTTTGTGCAAGTCAGAGTAGGTGGCGGTCGCGGGAGCCGCTCTTGTCGTTCCCGTCTCTTTGCCTCTGCTGTCATCCGTCGTTGGGTTTCCATGTAGGTTGTTCCCTGTGCGACGGTGCTCCGCCACGCAGTTCGGTCCTCGGCGAGGGTCTCCCAGTTGTCATGATCAATGCCGCAGCAAAGGAGCGTGGCCTTTAGCTGATCATGGTACCGACGTTTGGGAGCGCCCCTCGGTCTTGTGCCGGATTCGAGTTGAGAGAACAGGATCTGGCGGGGTAGTCGAGTGGTCGGCATTCTTCTGACATGCCCTGCCCAGCGGAGGCGATGACGGGCTACAGTCGTCTCGATGCTGGGGAGGTTGGTTTGCAGAAGAACAGAATCATTTTTTGCTCGTAATCACAAAGGAACTCTACTCCTAACTAATGTTGATGCACTTGTAAATCAGACTACAACGAAGGAACGTCTTTCAGGAAAAAAATCTTTATTCACAGAGGGATTTTTTTCAATAGCAGACTAACCTGAGTAAAATTTCCAAAATGACAATTCTTCACAAACTCAATTGCTTCTCATGGTTGTGGCAAGAACTGTTGAGTATTGCAAGCCAATGGCAGACAGATAGATATATCTTTAGTCTCTTAGTTATAAAACATGGTCCTTGGTCTGAAGTACAAATTAAAGCTATTGTATCATTGGTCCACACTTCTTTGTACCATTTAAAAGGAATATTAAATAGATGGTAGGGGTAATTATTACAAGTACACTGTATTGTATCATATAACAGCGCTGATACTTATTATCTATTCCCTGAATTTCTAATTTATTACTGTCTTACTGCATTTGTTTAATATTAAAATGTTTAATTTACACTTTAAAAAGTGGTGAATTGTTTTCCTTATTGCTGTATGATCTATGACTAACATGGATTGTCCACCTTACCTTACAAGTAAGACATCACCCGAGGTAGTGATTTCCTTGACATGTACGTTTCACAGTTCACAAGTTAATACACACATTGTATAATGTAAGGCCTTAAAACAAGACTTTCTGCCATTTTGCTGTTTTCCTTAAAACCACCTGTTGATTTAGGCCTGAGATTTGCATCGTCAAGTTCTTCAGAAAAGTCTTCGCTGAAAACTTTTTTTTTTCAGATCAAAAAGAGGAAGGCAAGAAAACTTGACATCCTTACATACTAAATGTTTATTGAACTCACCATCTTATCAGTCATTGGAGGCAATAAAACCGTTTGTCAAAATCACTTATACATTATATAATACCCTGTCTTTGCTTGTTTCAACCTTTTTCCTGCTGCCTAACCCCATAACCAATAGAGAATTGGTTAGAAAGACGGCTACTTTGGAGGTGTAAAGAAAGTTACATATTACATACATACATTAGCGGCCTGTCAGCCGGGCTCTATGCCATCACAACTCGCCAGGTCTATCTAACATTACATTTCCTAAGTATTCGAGTTCTATGTGAGTGTCTCTAGTTAAGGTATCGGTAAAAGTCAGACTTCTACAGTGTACTTGACCTCTTGGCTTCCAGAGAAGGACAGAAGAAACAATTTCCTGCTTAGCTCTATAAGGCCACACCAAGTAAATTTTATGGATGACGTCCTTTGGAGACCCTAAATCTAATGCGAGAGGGCGAAAAAAAAAACAAGAAGGGCCCTAAAAAACAAGATGCCTAGATTAGAAATATACTAAGACACGACAAATGTTAGGACACAAATTGAATGAGGTGACACAGTGTAACAAGCAAGAAGTCTTTTATTCATCATCCAAACAGCAATAAATCAGGTGGAACAGCAGTTGTCGTCCTGTCCTGTTTCTTTCATCACATTTTTGCAGGCCTGCAGAAACAAAGCATGTGCTCTTTACCCATTTCGCGTTACGGGTCTCACGTCAATCTAACGATTTGCGGCACTGTTGTGGCTCTTTGGTCATAGTTACAGGAAGCGGAATTTCTTGTTTTTTTTTCTAGGAACAGGCCAAAATCAATGCGCGCGTGGACGTCATCCATAAAATTTACTTGGTGTGGCCTAACAATGTCATGCAAATAAATGAAAGTTACACCCGATGGCTTACAATTTGTTCCAAATAAGTTGTGCGACCATGGACCACCCGTGTCAAATGTACACGTATAAGCACCCTTCAGTCTTTGTCTGGCACTTTCCTTCCATAGTACCACACAGCCAACGTGTCGGGGTGAACTCCCATCTGGTAGGCTAGCAGTATGAATGTGTTCAGAGATGTCACCTGGATGTGAGAAACAAAACACAACATGAGGGAAGGTGTCTGTGAAGATACAAATTATAACACAACCAATTGTGTTGCGTACTGTAATGTATGGCATTATTACATGTTTCCTACAGCTAGACATTGGAGAGTTGTACAAAACCGGTAGACTGAAGACTGATAGTGCCTGCATAGCCTCTACCAGGCCTTTCTACGGGAATACGGATTGTAGAATTCGGCAAAAAAGAGAGTAAATTGGCCAAGGGAATCCGGCCGCGGGGAGGTAGTTTCTTTCCCTCTGCGCGGCCTGTCAAACCTTTAAGGCGGCCAAACTCCCCTGGCAAATATTCTTTTATATATAGCCAGCGTAGATAGTCTGGTAGAGACTAGTGCCTGCAGCTCTAAATAACAGGTTCCACATGACATCATTATAAACCACACCTTATGTGTTAACATCATCTGGTACACCACAGGAGGCCAAACATAAATATGTGTTATGTCAATGAAGGTTAGACATCCAGGTAATAAGATATGCCAAAAAGCAGTTACTTCAGGAGAAATGCAGCTTTATAAGCACAAATCAATAGTTTGTGCTTATAAACTTGCATTTCTGGTCTCTCAGTCACTGATGAAAGCTAGTGGATACCGTTTCCAAAATCATATCCAGTTGCTCGAGTAACTGCTTTTTTTGGCATAAATACGTGTTGTTCCAAGGACTTTGTTCAACGTGTTTCATGTTTACAATGACAACCTTCATGACATCAAGTCCTTTCTAGATGACGAAATTTAGTCCCAAATGTAGGTTCGCTTCCAAGGATACTGTTATGTCTGGTAAATTATGACTAATGTTGTCTTGGAGCAGCCTCTGTAGCAGGCTTATAGAACTGGGGGTTCGGTGGTCTTCGGCTGTTTTCTGATCAGCCCAGTTCTAAGAAATGAGGTAATTCAACCAGGCCGGCTATGTAGTCTATATGCAATCAGAAAATAGCACATAAAAGCTCCCAAAGACCCTAAAGACCCCCAGTTTTTGGCATGCTGTGTAGGCTAGTCTTGGAGGTGGAGAACAAAAAAGTATACTAGATGTACTACTAATGCATGGTTTATGGCTGTATCCCTGGCAAGACATAGTGGATGATGTCATTGTAAAGGCAGTTGCTGTACACAGCATTAATGCCAGGGACAAAATGTTGTTCACACTTTTAGCTGACATTAAGTCTACCTAAGTGTGAGAAAGGTGTGGGGACTGTGGTAAAGGATGTACATAACAGGATGACGTCACATATATGTTCAGATGTTCATGTGTTATGTGGCTTCAAATGGTGGAGGGACTTAACGCTAGTGGACACAATCTGTATCTGTATAGCCGGTATAACTGCCCTTTGGCGTAACACACCAGCTTCTGTATCTGTATAGCCGGTATAACTGCCCTTCGGCGTAACACACCAGCTTCTGTATCTGTATAGCTGGTATAATCGCCCTTTGGCGTAACACACCAGCTTCTGCATCTGCATAGCCGGTATAACCGCCCTTCGGCGTAACACACCAGCTTCTGTATCTGTATAGCCGGTATAACCACCCTTCGGCATAACACACCAGCTTCTGTATCTGTATAGCCGGTATAACCGCCCTTTGGCATAACACACCAGCTTCTGTGTCTGTATAGCCGGTATAACTGCCCTTTGGCATAACACACCAGCTTCTGTATCTGTATAGCCGGTATAACCGCCCTTCGGCGTAACACACCAGCTTCTGTATCTGTATAGCCAGCATAACCGCCCTTCGGCGTAACACACCAGCAAAAGCAAAAGCAGTTACTCAAGAAACTGGATATGATTTTGGAAATCGTCAGACATTTCAGGTAGTATCCACTTATCCAGTTGCTTGAGTAACTACTTTTTGGCGTGACTGACTGACTGATTGATTGATTGATTGATTGATCACCCGTACCTTGAGATACCCATGTTTCCTAAACCTGCGAGCGGAGGTGATGACCCCTGACCCCTCCGTGATGCCGACATGGCCGTGCCGCTTCAGCCGCCGCAACATCTCCACATCCTCCAGCAGAGGGAACTCTGGGAAGCCTCCGACAGACTGGAACTGCCTCCTGGTCATGAACAGGGCCTGGTCCCCATACGGCAGTTCTGAGGGGAAAGGTAGAAAATCTTTTTTACACAACCAAATCTTTTATTCAGCTGACATTTCGGTGACCGTCTGTCACCTTCCTCAGGGCAATTCTGACTGGTTCACATTGCATTGCAGCACAGGTGTCGCTGCTACAGATGCATTCCCAAATTTACATTTACATATCTACAACACCTGTGCTGTTGTGCAATGTAAACCCCAGTCAGAATTGCCCTGAGGAAGGTGATAGACAGTCACTGAAAAATTGGCTGAATAAAAGACTTGGTTGTGTAAAAAGAGTCTCCTTACTCGGAAAGGTAGCAAATATGTATCACATTAATTTTTTCTTTCCTACGGAAGATGATAACTACACGTACTACATAGACTAATAAATAAACATCCAGACACAAAATGCATTTCTTGTTTTATCCTTGTGTGCAATGTAAATATCGTCTATGTTGCTTTACTTTTACTTTTTTTTTCTGTAAATATGGGCCAGTGAGTGTCTGAAATATGTGTCATCTCCTGTACACGAAACTCACCAAAGAACGAAGCTCTGAGGTTGGTCCCCCATTGTAGAAGTCTCATCTGTGCCCTGAACCACCAAGAATCTGAGCTGAAGTAAAAAATACATGGATCAATCCAAATCAAATAAACATGTACATCCGTATCTATCATTATTATCATAAGGCCACACCAACTTAATTTTATGGATGACATCCTCTTAAGACCCCCAAAGTAGTGTGTGCGGGCATTAAAAATAAATTTCAGCCAAAAATAAAAATGCTACCACCAGAATACAAAGCTGGTATTGTGAGTTTGGGGCAGTACATAGTGACGTATACCACGAGCCGGCACATCCTGACTTTTTGTAGAATTTATGAATCGGAACTGTACGTATGTACTGAGTTCTTGAGTTGCATGGAGCTTTGACAGCCTGGGTGCCGTCCTCCAGAGTTACTACCGGCTCCGTATTGTCTCTAACTACCATGGACTACCCAGGACTAGAGCCAAGCCAGAGCCCCGGAGTCGGAGGACATGAATTTTTTTTGAGAACGGGTGAAAGCTAATGCGCACGCGGATGTCATCCATAAAATCAGGTCGGTGTGGCCTAAATGGGGACAAGAAGATGATATCTACTGTACTTTGAATGACTTGAATCCTGCACCACGTCCAGTCCGAAGGGGAAGGCTCCGACCACCACCCCCGGACGGCAGAGCGTTCTGTAGGCGTCCCGTTGCCATGACGACGGCAGCTGTGTGTCAGCGTGCAGGAACAGGAGGTAGTCTCCCGATGCATGCTGGGAGCCAGCGTTTAATTGCATTCCACGACCTTGGGAGACAAGGTGAGATGATCAGTGTTGGTATGTCAGGATCTTTTCAACTCAAATACAGTCAAACCTGTCCAAGCTGGCCACCCAGGGGACCAAAAAAAGTGGTCACCTTGAAGGGGGTTGCCTCACAATACCTTGGACAAGTTGCTTTTTGGGACAGAGAAAAAGTGGTCACGGTATGGCCAGGTGGCCAGCTTCAAGAGGTGGTCACCTTGGCAGGTTTGACTGTACATGTACTGCACTGGTAATTGTCTCCATTATTTTGGTGGCTGAGCTGTGGGTTTGTATATCTGTTTGTGTGACTAGGTTGACAGCCCATGGGTGGGGGAAGATTGACAAGCAGAATGACAGGTGGCCAAAAGGTTTCCAAATCTGCCTAGGGAGTCAGCAGGAATTAGAAATCAACATCAGAGAGCAAAGCATAGCTAATCTATTACTAGGTAGGGAAAAAGAATCTACCTCAGGACAAATAAAAATTTATCAAAATACAAGTATTAGGCCATAGGACCCAAATTATCAAGACTGACTTGAAATGTCAACATTGTCACCTTTAGGACTGGCTACAAGCTTGACTGTGCCCTGAGGATAGGACTTGGCGATGTCCCTGACAATATCAGCTGTGCCGTCAGTGCTTCCTCCATCACTCACCACCACTTCTGTCTGCTGGTGGTGGAGGAAGCCCTGTGAGAAATGGCAAAATTCATCAACAAATTCACCATATTCAATACCATGATTTTGTTGAATATTTTTATTCTTTGTTACAGTTTCATTACAATTCCAAATTAATGAAATAAAAGAACATCCTTACAGGATACTATCATGAAAATTCATGAGTGTTCATTTCATTTCATTTCATTTCATTTTATTTATTTATCCAGGTGATACATATCGCCTTCTCAGCGTTTTTCAATGATACCTGGGGGGTAAACCCCAACATAGTAAAATACAAACAAAGTAACTGAGGATAAAATACAATAATAAATAAGAAGAAAATAATCACTATATACAAGTGTGCAATTAATCATAAGGTAACATAAAGAATCTAACCAAAACATAAATAAGTTAAAGCGAAAGGAATTTGCATATCAATGGAACTTATCTCACAAGCATAAATCACACAAAATCATATTAACTGGAAAGGAAAATCATAATGTTTGTAAATCACTCAACCAAAATCAAATTAACTGGTGAGGGAAGAAAGTCTGGTCTTAAATGTACTGATAGATTTTGAGTTTCTTACATGTGGCGGAAGGGAGTTCCAGAGAACTGTGCCGGAGAATGAAAATGATCTCTTTTTGTACTGTAGACGTGCTTTAGGTAGTTGGAGCCCCCCCTGTGTACTGTGTCGGGTGTTGTGTGAGTGGGTAGAAGCAGATGTTGTGAAGTATTGTGAGATGTGCGCAGGTGTCATACCATTCAGTGCCTTGAACGTGAGGACAGCCTTGGCCCGTGTGTGGTGTTGTGATACGGTGGTCCAGCCTAACAAGTTCAGAACAGTTGCACTGGAGGTGTAGCGGTCACACCCTAATACTACTCTGCCCGCTCTATTTTGTAGCTTTTGTAATTTGTCTACATGCCCCTTACCTCCCTGGTCCCATACAGTGCTGCAGTATAAGATGTGGGGGAGGAACAGTGTGTTGTATATTGTCAGTAGGGCCCGTCTGTCCAAGTATGGTCTCAAACACTTCATTATTTCAATTATTTGTGATAGTTTCTTAGACACATGAAGAAAGTGGTCGCTCCAGAGTAGGGCATTGTCAAGCACAACACCCAGATACTTGAACGAATCCACTTGCTCCAATTCTGTCCCGGTTAACGTGAGTTGTAAGCGCTGGTCAACAACTCTGGACCTGTGCAAACCAACCAGCATTGACTTACATTTAGAGGGATTCAAAGAGAGTCTGTTTGCGAGGAACCACTGTACTAACCGGGTAGAATCGTTCTGGAGTGTGTCTTGTATTGTCTGTGTGCTACGGTGTGAGAAGTAAAGAATGGTATCGTCTGCATACATAGCCACCCTACATGACTGAATACAATTGGGCAGATCATTTATATATACAATGAACAGAAGGGGTCCAAGAATGGACCCCTGTGGAACGCCGCAAGTCACATTAGATGGTTTTGACAGGACTGAGTTTAGGCATGTACGCTGGTATGTTGGTGTTGTGTCAGTGTTGGTATGTTTAGAGTTAAAACTTTACATCCAACACTACTGTGGAAGACCAGAGTGACTGGTTGAAAGCTCTAGGTGAGAGAGCTTTTGTGTTGGATCTAAAGTTTTAACTCTTAACATCTTTACAAGATGTTTTCAAGCTCTAAATTTAATTGCCATGTCTACTACACATATGCACCAAAATCTAACACTATCGAGCAAGTCATGTCAACATGGCTGATATTCCTTCTCTATTGAGAGAACATTTACCTGTAGCACGTTTTCTATCACAGCTTTGATATTTACTGCTTCGTTGAGGACGGGAATGATGACACTCCACTTTGGGCTGCACAGTTCCTGACGAGAAACGCCTGTCCTGCGCTCAAACTCACCAAGGTCATCAGATGTGTCCTGAAATACACTCAATCAGTTCAGATTCACTGCAAGTTGTTACACATATCATACAACAGGGAAATAGTCACCATTACCTATCCATCTACTCCACTGGCCCCATGTGATGCATTAAGGGCTATAGAAACAGAGATGGACATATTGCCCCTATACAGATGTATGAAGGTGTGGGAAGGATTAACTGAATAAAAACATTCAGTTGTGTTCTTGGGATTTGAACCCAGAACCTAATTCAACATGCCTAGCTGCAGCCCACAAGACCCCCTTGCCTATTTTGTCACCCAAAGTGGTAACTGTCTGGCAAATGGATGCAGCCTGGCCAATTTGATACTGTCTTTGCAGCCACCAAAAGATCTACTTGAAGTCATTAAAAAGCTGCTCCAATAGGCAAGAGGGTCTTGAGACTAAAGCTTTTGTCTACACTTTTCACATCACAGTTACTTACCACATCCTGTAGCCTGTGAGAGAGCAGGTGGCACCTGACTCCCAGCTGTTCTCCCACCTGCAGCTGCTGCTGAAGCACCTGGTCTGTCCCCCACCTCATCCCCTGGAACAGCTCACCTGCCAAACATTTCCAAGTTCAAGATTATTCAGAAGCTAATGCCTAAGTTAGGCTCTAGCAGTAGTAAGTAGTAGAAGTAAGCCTTTATCTAAACTCTCATTACAAACAGAAGTTTGTAGTACACTATCCACGATCAGTTAGGACACAAGATATAATTTCAAACATCATTGAAGCACCTGGTCCGTCCCCCACCTCGTCCCCTGGAACAGCTCACCTGCAATTTGGAGTTCAAGTTTATTCAGAGAAAGGGACTCACAGGCATCTGTATCTGCATAGCCGGTATAACCGCCCTTCGGCATAACACACCAGCTTCTGTATCTGTATAGCCAGTATAACCGCCCTTCGGCATAACACACCAGCTTCTGTATCTGTATAACCGCCCTTCGACATAACACACCAGCTTCTGTATCTGTATAGCCGCTATAACTGCCCTTTGGCGTAACACACAAGCTTCTGTATCTGTATTGCCGGTATAACTGCCCTTCAGCGTAACACACCAGCTTCTGCATCTGTATAGCCGGTATAACCGACCTTTGGCGTAACACACCAGCTTTGCAGGCACGTGGTGCGGCGGCAGCTGGCTACATCACACTGATCGACTTGAACTCTAGACATCAAGAACAGCTTTAAAAGTGGTAAGTCTATTCTGCTGCCACTATTAAAGGTTGTACTGATCACACTTTTTACCTATAACACGGCTGTCTGTTTGTCTGTTCAGACCCACTAGGTAGTAACCACCATCTATGGCAGGTCCTAAGACACAGACATCTTCTTCCTGGCTCGAGTTCAGAGTCTGAAGAGCCTCCTCCAAAATGTCTGCAGTGATGGCTGGGATGTCACTCCCTACCTGTAGTGTTTACACAGAAAAGGAACGCTAGAATCAGATGGATTATATATGGTACAACTTTGTACAATTCTATCATTTCATTTTCAATAACATACTTACTCATATTCACAGCATCATCATTATCTTGACCAGCTAGCTGCTTGGATGTTCAAAGCAAACAGGACCATAGGCAAAGCATATATGACCAAAGAATTGTACTTTTTGGTAGCGTTATACTTATTAGACCACAGTGGGCTTCAAAAACATTATTTTGGCCCCCTTTAAAAGGGGCTAGTCACCTGGGGAGTGTTTAGTTCATGATTTAAAGGCACCCAATGCAATCTTTTGCTCTCTGGAGTACTTACCAAGACCACATTTTCAGTCCCCTCCCTAAAAGCATCCTTAAAAGCGTTGGCCATTTTCTGTCCCAGGTCCTCTCCCTCCTGTACCCTCCACCAGCAGCTAATGCCTGTCCTCCTCTCCAGCCAGTACCTGTGTGAGTGAGAAGCTAATGTTGGCTAAACTCCTGCTTGGACTGTCAAACTGGACTATTATGAACTGTTATGATTCGAGAGCAGTCTCTCCTGCAATGATTCCGTTTTTTAATTGTGTTGATTTTGAACCACCACGTTATATTCGTAGCATTGTTAAACATGTTGACATTATTGAACGTAACTTGTATATACCGAAGCTCCTACCTTGTAAACAATTGTAAACTTCGGTGCAATTCAGTTTTTTTACTGCATGGCCGAGTTGTCCCATTGTTCTTATCAATAAACCATTTACATTGTACTACATGTACTAGTACCTCATGTCCTCCTGAGTGCCTCCATGGTACCGCACCTCTACTGACAGGTCCTCTGGGTTCCTCTGTTGAAGTCTGCCTGCTTCGTGCAGGATCGCATCTGTCTGTAACGTAGATAAAAACAAAACATTAAGAGTGAAATCTGATGCAGACATTGACATTATGGCAAAACCTGATCAGCATTTGTTTTAATGATAATACTAATTGATGTAAGATTTTTGTGAACATATGCATTTTGATATAGTGGCATATCATATCTGTATCCGTAAATATTAGCTGGTACATGTATAACCGGCCTTTGGCATACCGGTAACACACCAGCTTTTCAGGCACGTGGCATGGTGGCAGCTGGCTACATTATATTATAATAATGTACTCTATTAAATATGTACTCTACATAGAGACATAATTGTAAGCTTTTGCAATTGTAAGCAATTGTTAAGTTTTTCTAATGACTCAACAGTTTCCAGTACTGGTACCAACCTGTTCTTGTTTAAAAATATGGGTTTACATTGGTTATCTTTATGAAATAATACACAAACATAAAGAATACATAAATGATAAACCATCACCATGTGCAGCTGTGCCAGAGCAGCTCCCTGTTCTCCCAGAGCCGGAATCAGGCGAGATTTGGTGGTGCCAGGTGCGGGGTACCGCGTGAACACTATCACCCGCTGTCGTCTGGACTTCAGCCATCTCTTCCTCCTGTAGCTGGCGTAGCCGGGCACTGTAAGAGCTGCTACAGCGGAGGCTAGGAGGACTGCCGCGCGGGAGGCCATCGTGTGAAACCTAGTCTCTACCAGACTAACTACGCTTTTGCCAGGGGAGTTTGGCCGCCTTGTAGGTTTGACTGGTCGCGCAGTTCGGAGGGAAAGAAACTACCTCCCCGCGGCCGGACTCCCTTGGCCAATGATTTTTACTCTCTTTTTTGTCGAATTCTGCGCCCCGTATTCCCGTAGAAAGGCCTGGTGGAGGCTATGATAGTATGAAGCCGTCGCTATTAAACGCCTCTGCGTGGCATACCACTTCAACTTCATGCATGCCTGAGTGGAAACCTGAGAAGAGTGTTTTTTGCCTGGTCAGGTGTGTCCTCCGAGTAGAGACAGTAGTAGAGTAGAGTAGACGCCTTCGGCCAGGTATGAGCTTCAGTTCTAGTTTAGTTAAGCGTGCTAGACTGCACAGACATCTATGGCTTCTGAGGGTTGTCTAGAGCCCAGCTTCTTCTGTTTCAAGTGCTTGTCGAGACTTTCCTCTGGTCACGCAAATGCCTGATTTAAAGCGTTCTGCAGTACCTGAGTGCTCGCATGTTTTTCAGCAGTATGAATGAGGTAGGGTCACGAGATTCGCACGTGAAAACCTGAGTTCAAGTTGTGGCTTAAAGTTTACCGAAGAACCATGCTAGACGTCATGTAACTAACACATATGATGCTGCAACAAAATAAATATGCAGACTTTGACCGGTGACCTCCGTTCTTGCGTAAGGGTACTGAGTTGCCACGAGGACGGAATTGAGCGATCCAAGCATTGCCGCAACGCCAAGCATCAAAGCCAGAGACACTACACAGCTTTAAAGTAGTGCTACACTACTGAAAACAACGTTTCTCGATAGACTTTTTGTGTGTTTTGGAGCCCACGCCGCCATTTCCCGCCAAATGTAGGTCAAATGTTGACCCCATATTCAAAGCCCCTAATTGGTGCAAATTTTGGACCAATCAGAGGCTCGGATTTCCCCAAGGAAATCCAATATGGCGTCCGATTGTTGACATCTCGGAGTGTGTTGCAATCACTGCCGAAGCTTTCGCGTCGTCCTGTCGCACTGAAGGGATTCTGACATATTTATCGAATGTCAGCAGAAGGCAAGACATCATGGATCTTCACGAACTGTTTCTTGCCTGTAGAAAGGGAGACGTTTCGCGTGTCAAGTAAGTTTTTCCACGGTGTTGTGGTGTTGTTCCTCGATCGTCTGCTAGCTACCGCCGCAGTAAACGTTCCTCCAATTTTGGGAGGGGGGCGTTTTCATCATTTGCCAACTAAACACTTGTTCAGTGTGTGCTAGCTCCTTGGTGTGTGTATTTAGCTGTAGCGGCCTCTGGTGTCAAGTGACAAACATACGCTGTAATAGGATCTTAGCTAAGCGACCTTGCCCTGCAATTTGCAGCCGAGGACATCGTTCCAAAAAAAAAAAAAAATCACTGTCTTGACAAAAATAAGTGAGAGTTGTTTTTCTTGGTACATTTTTATCCTCAGGCCATCTGATTAAAATGCTACTTATACAAGCTGGCCTGATTTTTAGGGTGTGTGTACATCTCAAGCATAGATTTTGTATGGTTGTCATAAATAGTGATTGATGTAGGATGTGTTTGTTTTTCCCAATGTAAAATTAGATGTCGAGGACTGTAGTTGATATTTATAAAGGCAGGGTCTGTTTATAAAAGCCACAGGTCAGGGAAGAATCATAACCCCAATGGGTTCTGTTTTGATAGTTCAGTCCAATCATCACAAGGTTCATCACAGGGATCACAGGAGCCTAGGCAATATTTTAGGGACATGCCAGTGTAACACAGCCTGTGTGCTATTCCTGTTTGTATGCGGGGGTGCCCATACTCACTCCCTAAAAATCAGGCCAGCTGCATTTTAATCAGATGGCCTGAGGCTGAATGGTGTGCAGGTATGCAGGTAAATGTAACACAAAATAAACAGCTGTCACTTTTTTTTGTCAACACAGTGATTATTCTGAAGTGTATAAAGTAAAAACTTCATACTGCTCCCCATAATTATATTATTACATGTCTAAAGCAAAGTTTGGCAACAGATAATACTTATTTGCTATCATGTAGGAGTTTCATGTTTAAATTACCTGGATACAGACCCTTTATTCAGACTGGACAGGTTTTTCCACCCCACTAGACCAGTCCAGACTGGATAGGTTTTTCCACTGACCCAATTGTAGATTTGCCCAGTTGTCTTATTTTATGATATTAAAGTTAGGTCTCTGACTTAAGTTAAACCTGTCCACATCACTAATTAAAGTACTGCTTTATGGTGTATGTCCATGTACGCTTAACAAGATGTCAACCCTAGCTTGGTATCCAGTCTTACGTGATTGGGGCATAGTAGTTGTGGTGTTCAGGCAGGCCATGTCTTTGGGGCTCTAATAGCTTCCCCCAGCCCAGTGCAACAGCCCCTCCGGAGATGGTACGCTTGATTTCCCCCAGTACCCGGTAGGGCTAATCAATCTCTCGTGAAATACCCACTGAGAAACCTAGCTGAGGTGTGTGGCAACCCTGAGGAAAACCTGCCCCTACCACGTAAGACTACCTGTGTGGCTATGTCAATCCTTAAGACAGAGCAAACAAAATTCCAATACATGTATGTACACTTTACAGGCACTTGGTGGAACAGAAGGAGGTGGACCTGAATGTGAGAGACCGCTGGGACAGCACACCTCTGTAAGCTTTATCAGAACTATACATGTACCAGTCCTGTATCTGTAATACTATCTGTATCTGTATAGCTTGTATAACTGCACAGCACACCAGCTTTACAGTTGTGACAGTGCAGTGATAGCAGCTTCATGAGCAACCTGTCACTCCTACCGGTATATCTTACTGAAAGTGTTGTTTAAAGCTACATGTACCTGGTGTGTTTTATTACACCCAAAGCATTTCATGTCAGTAAGATAAATACTAGTACCCTTCTGCTTTATTGAAGTTTCTCATACGTTTTGCATGTCTTTTCTTACCATACAGGTACTACGCTTGTCTATGTGGCTTTGAAGATCTAGTGGAATACCTGCTGGAGAAAGGTAAGATTATGTACTGAACAATGTATATAGTAGAGGGGATTCATTCCTCAAGCTAACCAACATCTTGCACACGCAGTCGTCCCTCATCTGGAGCCGCATTGTTCCCGTTTAAAACTTTTATTCAGCCTGTCACACAAAACAATGGGTATCAAAGACAGTAGTAAAATGTGAGAGATTATTATAGTAAAAGGTTGAACTTAATTCCAACACACAATTGTACAGGGATCAAATTTTCAGCTACCACTGTCGCCTTCATAAGGATAATTAATGACCAATCACTTTATCCTGATGAAGGCGACAGCGGTCGCTGAAAATTTCATCCCTGTACAATTGTGTGTTGGAATTAAGTTCAACCTTTTACTATGATTACTACCAACACAGATGAGCTTTCATGATAATGAGAGATTATTATGTTCACCTGTGAGCTAAAATGATCTTGTATCCACCCAGGTGCGCGTTGTCAGGCGAACACCTTTGACGGCGAGCGCTGTCTGTACGGTGCGCTGAACGACAGGATCAGGAACATGCTGAAGAACTACAAACAGGTCACCTCGCACACGTTACGCAGGGACCACTATGAGGAGTTCCTACGAAAGTAAGCTCATTTTATATTTATTCATTTATTTCTTTAATAAAATTTTTCAGCAGATGTGTGGAAGGGGAGGGAGAACGCCTTTACCAGCTCCCTCCCCAAATTGAAAAAAAAAAAAAAATTTAACGGCTCTCAGTGTCCAATGTGCAGATGTTGTCACATTGGCGCACCAAATCCGTAGTGTGTTTTTGGCAACCAGTCATACAGATTAGCCTAAGAGGCTTGGTGGGCGTCACTCCACAGTATAGGTGGGGAAGTCTTGTAAAGTGCCTTTCCCAAGGGCACAACGTCGGGCCACAGTGAGTATCGAACCCGGGACCTTGAGTCCAACGCTCTAACCGTTGCGCCACTGACGCCACATTGTTCACAATGTTGTGAAATATTCCCAAAGAGGAATATATGTTGATTTTTCTTAATATTGCACATCTTGCAGGCTTTTAGAGCGAGGAAACTATGAGGATGTAGAGTTTGAGGTCCATGAGGAGCTGTTCACGGCTCACAAGTGCATCCTCAGCGCACGGTCGGCGTACTTCGCTGAAATGCTGCAGACCAAATGGAAGAACAAGGCTCACGTCCAGATCAAACACAGTCTGGTGAACCCCAACGCTTTCAGGGCAGTGCTGCAGTATCTATACACGGGTAAGAAAAGCTTTTTCAAGAATAGCCAGTCTGTTCAGTTCAAAATGCCATGGTATATCAGCACCAAGGAGAAGGCAGCTCACGACAGTCATTCCTGGAAGAATGCTCCTTTGATAGATAGTAGTACATATCTCACAGCTTATCATTAGGCATCAAAGATGAGATTTTTGTGAAGGAAAACCCACTATCAAAAAGGCAGTACAACGCCAACAGACCACGATTCTTCATCGCGAAGGAATGATATCTTCGCGAAGGAATGATATCTTAAGTTCAGTTGCTTGCAACAAATGGGGTTTCTAAACAGACACTGGCGACACAAACTAAAAGATTGACAGTCAACAGAGATGAAAATTCTTTCATGATCCAAACTTCTAAAATAGGTTATTACGCTATGATTATTAGCTGTAATTGATAGATACTGGTATAATTGTACCTATAGTACAAATGGACACATCAAATATCCTTGCTACATGGGCGTACATGTATACTTGTTTTTTCTTGGTGAAAACATTTCTTACATCCATATTAGGAGAATTTGTAGCATTTCAGCCAAGAATGAGGCAAAATGCTATGGGATGGCATATCAGCACCAAGGAGAGGGTAGAGCACTCCTTTGATAGATGGTTAAATGGTACATACTTTGTAGCTCACAATTATGGGAACTGATGATGAGATTTTCATTGAGGAAAACCCACTATCAAAAAGATGTATGTACCAACAGATCATGAAAAAACAATGTTTTCACCAAAAGAAAAGGGTTTCACTCTCTAATAGATGAACTTAAAATCAGGATATGCTTTCCTTTTTCTAGATTCAAGATGGATTTATTATTTTTTTGCAGTTAAAAACAACTGAAGTGTAAACCGAGTTACAAAACATAGGTACATTAAAACTACAGGTTTGCAATGTAATACATTGTATAAGTCATATTGGTGCCCGATTAACAAACCAATAAAATACATGTTTCATACATTATAAATTTCACGGACTACATTTGATACAGCACACTGTACTAAGAAGACAACAGTCAGGGGTTCAGTCCATAGTTATTGAGTATGGTATTGATGCTAACTATGTGATAACCTCTGTCTACAGGCCGACTGGACACTGATATCTACAATGTAGATGACTGTATGAGGCTGGCCAAGCAGTGTCGGCTAGGAAAGCTCATCGACGAACTGGAGAAGAGGCTGAAGACAGTATACGACTTTGGTAAGTGCCGTCATCATTGGCTTTGACAGTCTTGAGCTAAAAAAACTACAGCAAGAATTCTGTTCCACGTGTCAATAGATGTAGATCCTGTCACAGCAAATTGAGAACATCTTGTTCAGCTTTTCAGCCATCTTGTGACGGAAAAGATTGTCAATGGTTGTTTCTGCTAGACTTACTGAAAATTGCAAAATATAATGTACTTGACCAATATCATATTGATCAGTTGAGTCTACCTAGCCTCCACCAGGCCTTTCTACAGGAATACGGATTGTAGAATTTGGCAAAAAAGAGTAAAATTGGCCAAGGGAGTCCGGCCGTGGGGAGGTAGTTTTGTAACTGCATGGCCAGTCAAACCTACAAGGCGGCCAAACTCCCCTGGCAAATATTCTCCTATACACTGTATATAGCCAGCGTAGTTAGTCTGGTAGAGACTAGAGTTTACCAGTCTTGTTCTTCCCTTTTTCCAGTGTCCACCAAGCCAGGCACCCACGTCACCATGATCAGTGTGGAGCATGAAGGCCTGTATAACCAGGACCTGTGTGAAGACTTCGGCAGACTTGCAGAAAGCTGCATGCCTCCAGAGCTGGGCAACTGGGTATTTTTTCATATATTTAATCCATAGGCAAATGTCACAGCACGTTACACTGATTTTCAGGCAGCTTGGCTGATTTTTGAAAGTCAACAATTATACAGACAAAGTATATATACAATACATAAACATTCACCCAATATCAAATGATACATAGAATTGGAAAGTCAATTACACAATCAAGTAAAATGTTGTAAAATATCCCAGAATTATATTATATACTTTGGATAGAATGGTCAAAATGCCAAATGTGTTTAGATGTTCTTGATCAGAACAGCATAGCATGGTCACCATAAACAGACAGCCTTTGCTGAGCTGGGTGCTACTACTGTCAATCAATTCTGGACAACAGAAGAGAGGTTGCTGGTTGAGTAAGACAGTTGGTGGCATATCAGAGTGTTTGAACTATATTGTGAAATTGTACAGTACTGCCTGAACATAGCTTGTTACCTGGGGTGGTTGGTTGACCAGATTACTGTACTTTGGTTTCATTCCCCTCCCATCCTTCCATGATTGCCACACATGTTTGCTCAGAAACTGGACATTCTTTTGCAGGTCACCTCCGGAGTTTTACCCTTCTTCTGCAGTCCTGAAGATGAGGACAAAACTGCGTACGATGACGTCTGCTTTGAGGTAGAATCCCACATGTTCTATTGTCACAAGGTACGGGTTCCAACAAACTTCTTTCCTTGTTTTGAACACTTCATATAATTATGTTTTACGTATACTTAAAAGACTTGGGAGTATTCATAACTGTTAGCAACAGTAAATTAGGTAATTTATGGAATGACTTGTTCCATACAATCTTTGTACATTTAATTTCAAGAGTTGTTTGAAGCTTTCTAGTGATGATGCCCCAACTGTGCTTGGTGGCAATGAGTTCCACTCTACAATAGTTCCTGGGAAATATGAGTTTTTGAACACCTCAATTTTTGGTTGATAACTCTGATATTTGAAAGCATTAGTGTTTCTTGTTCTTTTCTGGGCTGGTATATCAGATATTGTGTACTTAGTGGTTGGTACATCCACCAGTTTGTTAGTCATTTTGTACATCATGCATAGTCTGGACATTTTTCGTCTGTCTTCCAGTGACACCCAATGTAGGTTTCTTTTCATTTCCGTGACACTAGCACCCCTTTGATAGTTGTTTGTGCAGAATCTTGCAGCTTGGTTCTGTATGCTTTCCATTTTATCTTTGTCTTTCTTTGCTATTACTAGTAGAAGAATACAGTCTTAGCAGAATACTATTTAAGCTTCAGTTTTATTACAGCATCTGACCCACAGTTATGTGATGACTGTACCATTTCTCTTTTTTGTTCCAGGTCTTTCTATGTGGTCGCAGTGACTACTTCAAGGCCCTGCTGATCGACCATTTCAGTGAGAGACCGAAGGAGGACTCAGAGTCAGAGGCTCCCATCCCGGTAGTGGAGCTGCACGACGTCAGCGCGTATGTCTTCAGCAGGGTGCTGTACTACATCTATCAGGACAGCACCGAGGTGAGGAAATTATAACTAGAAAGGCCGAAATTTGCTTTGGAGCATATGAAGCGGATGGCTTCACCACATTTTACAACATGGCAGGGAAAGAATTCAAGGAGAAACACAAAAAACAATTCTTACATTGATATAACTATGGTATGAACTAATGAAGGGACAACAGTTGGATAGCTATCCCCTACATTATTGATTAGGATTTTTAATTGCATAATGTAAACTGTTGATTTTCAAGATAAAAGAAGCGTTTATGCCGCATTCCAGTGCTGGAGCAGGAAAGCTTGACATACATGTACCTACCAAAACACTTCAATGCAGTTCATACCGTCAATATGGCTTCACCAATCCTTCCTGTTGCCTAAAGAACCACTAGGTTCAGAAGAGGATTGATCTCTCTCTCTCACATTTACCTGCAGATTTCCCCAGACCATGTGTTTGAGGTGTTACGAGTGGCGGACATGTACCTGTTACCCGGCCTGAAGAGACAGTGTGCCTACGTCATCAGTCGAAAACAACGTCATCCCCATCCTCAAATAGAGACATTTAATTAATAATTACTTATTCATCAATTGTCTTGTACATTTACCTGCAGATATCCCCAGACCATGTGTTTGAGGTGTTACGAGTGGCGGACATGTACCTGTTACCAGGCCTGAAGAGACAGTGTGCCAACGTCATCAGTCAGCATCTGGATGAGAACAACGTCATCCCCGTCCTCCGAGCGTCAAGGCTGTTTGAGCTGCCGCGACTTGAGGATCAGTGCACAGAGTACATGGCCAAGGTGGTGGATAAGGTATGGGAGACAAAATAACTAGTGTTGGCAAGCCTGGGATATAATACCCTAAGGCCACACCAATTTAATTTGTTGGTTCTCAGATTTGCCTCTTCATTTTTTTCTGATTTTGTTCTGAATCAACTCAAATATGCTCATATTTTGCCCCGAACAGTTGAGGAAAGTCCTTTTCTTACTAGTTGTTACATCTAACAATGCAGTGGTTTGATTAAAAGTTTAAAATTCATTGCTTAAATATTAACCCAGCCTTTTGTGTTGACTTCATGGCTCCTATTGTAGCATTTGGGGCTATAATAGGATGCCTAGACCTATTTTTATTTATCTATTTTTTTTCCCTGTTGCTTCATATTTTTTCCAAAAACCAACAAATTAAATTGGTGGGCCTTAGACAAATTTAATGAGTCATAATTCTAATTCACACACGTCTTCCAATCTACAGTTCTAGTAGTCAATATTGATCTGTATTTCCCTCCCAGCTGGTTGAGATGGAGGAGTTTGCAGACCTGGTGCGTGAGGACGCGTCGCAAGTGGAGGCCCGGCAGGAGACCGACTCCATCCCGGTGGTGGACGACATTCGCTACCACATCACCAGCAACGTGCAGACCTACAGCGCGCTCGACGAGGCAAACCAGAAACTGGCCGCGCTCGACTGGCTGCTGGACAGGCTGGGGTTGGAAGGGTAAACAGGGCTCGAAATTAAAGGTGCCCAAATAGAACCACTAAAATTTAGGCTGAGACAACTAAAAAGACACTTTGGGACAATTTTGGGTGAAGGGTACATCGGTGAAGGTTAGACATCCAGGTAATAAGATACACCAAAAAACAGTTACTCAAGCAACTGGATATAATTTTGAAAACGTTGGAAGGGTAGAGAACTGTGGTCACCCTGTGGGAAATGTCATTTGTGTTGTGGTTGAGTCTGATACTACAGGTTTAAACTTTTATTTCCCACACAAACATCAGTGGCTCCTGGATAGGCTGGGGTTGGAAGGGTACGTTGGTGAAGGTTAGACATCCAGGTAATAAGATACGCCAAAAAACAGTTATTCAAACAACTGGATATGATTTTGGAAACGGTCAGACGTTTCACCCTCAATGGGGGGGGGGGGCTATGGGCAGATTGGCATGGAATTCTAGGCTGACAGAATACACACAAAATAGCAAAAAAATAGAGTATGTTGTCTACTTCTGTGCCAGTATGGATTCTGGAAGTACATAGCCAGTACCTGCTGTAGCAACAATAGTCTTTCACTTAGTAATAATGCTTACTTGCAGTAAACAATATATTACTGCAAGTGTGCTGCCAATGACTTTAGACAACATGATTGTATAAAATGTTTGAATATGTAATATTTATGTGGAATAGAAATAATTGTTGTGCGGAATTAGATGCATCTTTGCCTTGTAAAGACTGGAATGTTACTGATAGTACAATATAACATGTATATTATGCAGGTTAAGAGAAATGGTTTTAACAAAGTTATAAGACTGAAAAAAATATAATTGTAGAAAATAATAAATAATTATAACATTTCTTTGTATCATATGAAGGGTCACTTGTTAATATTATAAAGTATTATAATTATAATGTGGTGAGAGTTATAAGATTATATTCAACATGCATCAACAGTAATAAGATTGGAAAAGTATAACACACTCATGGATACTGAAACATTCATATTGAATGTAGAAAATTATAGTTGACGTTGTTGCTTTTCATATTCAATTTCTCTTGCTTTCATTTGGTACATAAATTTAGCAGTATTACCTTATTGATACGTGGTGTGCATACTTTATGAAATATTGACAATCTTTTTATATATTTTACTATATGCCAATATGAATGACATGTTACACTTTTGTACTGTTCAATTTTTATTGAATTGCCAACTTCACATCATGTACTTAGGCCACACCAATTTAATTTCTTGGTTAACAGATTTTTCTAGAAAAATAATGGAGCGGGCGGGCGAAAAAAAAAAAAACAGGTCTAGGCATCCTATTATGGCCCAAAATGGTACGATAGGAGCCATGAAGTCAACACACCAGGCTGGTTCAAAATTTAAACAATGAATTTTGAACTTTTAATGATACCATTGCATTGAAAGATGGAAGAACTGTAACAACTAGGTTGAAAAGGTCTGTTTTCAACTGTTCAGGGCAAAATATGAGCATTTTGCAGTTGATTCTGAATTTTTATTTTTATTCGTAAATCAGAAAAAAATGAAGGGGGCGAATCCGTTAACCAAGAAATTAAATTGGTGTGGCCTTAGAAAAATTAAATGTAAATACCCGGTAGTCTGTTACTTCTAGTTCCTTCAATGTGTTGTCTACTAAAATAGATAATTCAGATAAAAGATGTAATGTTTGTTTATTATATGAGAAAAGGTGTTGAATATGGAACAGAAATTTGTGTTGGTGAACTTGGTAGTTGTGTGACCATTTTGAGACACAAGAAAGAAAATTCAAGTCAAGCATATTAGAAATAAAAACACAAAGCAAGTTTTTCTTCAACAGCCAAGTATATTTTGCCAAGCACTT